CTTCCTCAGACGGCTGAGGCGAGCTGGTCTGGGAAGCTCAGTCCTCACCTCCTTCTACAGGTGTGCAGTGGAGAGCATCCTGTGCTCGAGCATCAATGTGTGGCATGGAGGCTGCACAGCTGCAGAAAGAAAAGCTTTGCAGAGAGTGGTGAAGGCTGCACAGAAATCTGTTGGAGTCAGTCTCCCCACCATCACAGACATCTACACCTCCAGATGCAGGAAGAGGGCCACCTGCATCATGAAGGACCCCACCCACCCAGCACACACACTTTTTGCCCCACTCCCCTCAGGAAGGAGGTTAAGGAGCATTAAGTGTAGAACCACTAGACTGAGGAACAGCTTCTACCCTGAGGCTGTTAGACTCATGAATCTCTAACTAGAATAATCACTGTGAAAAACCATATCATGTTGCTGCTGATCTGTTTCATGTTGCTGCTGATCTGTTTCAATGTTGATGTGTTCATGCGTGCACATCTGCTCACAGACTCATGTTCATGTTTGTGGTGATGTTCAATGTTTTATGTTATGAGTGCTTAGTGTATATTTAGTTGATGTTTTTCTTAGTTCATATCTTAGATGTTATTACTGTTTTTCTTATACATTTTATTGTTGGATGTAACTGGGACCCTGTGTACATAATTTCGCTCCACCACATGTACCACATGAGGTGCGAATGACAATAAAGAAACTCTGACTCTGACAAACCACTGCATCGACCTCTCTGCTCTAACCCTGTCAGAAAAACAAAGAGTCACTAATCTGGGAGTGCTAATGGACCTTTCCCTGAAACTTAATCATGTAAACATGATTGTTAAATCATGTTTCTTCGAACTGAGGCGGCTGTCTAAACTGAAGCCCATATTGTCCAAAGATAACCTGGAGACAGTAATACATGCATCCATTACATCTAGGCTTTTTTTTTTACTGCAATTCATTCCTGTTTGGTATCAGTCAAACCTCCATTGCACGACTACAACTGGTCCAGAATGCAGCAGCCCGATTTCTAACCAGTACAGGCAAAAGAGAGCACATTACTCCAGTTTTGGCCTCACTGCACTGGCTACCAGTTCACCTTCAAATCCAGTTCAAAATACTCCTGTATGTCTACAAATCGCTGAACAGTTTCACCCCCCAAATCTATCTGATCTGCTACAGCCGAATGTCCCACCACGTTCCCTGAGGTCAGCGGACCAGTTGCTCCTCACAGTTCCAGGATCTCGTCTTAAGTGCAGAGATGACAGGGCCTTCTCTGTAGCAGGACCAAGACTTTGGAACGAGTTACCTCTGCTTGTCCAACAGGCCCCCTCCCTCTCGGTTTTCAAGTCCCGTTTAAAAACTCACTACTATTCAGTAGCTTTCAACACCAGATGATCTGTGTTTTGAACCTGTATGCTCCACACAGGTTAGTCGTCATATTTATTATCTGCATCGTTTTTATGTCTACAGTGCTTTGCGAAAGTATTCGGCCACCTTGAACTTTTCAACCTTTTGCCACATTTCAAGCTTCAAACATAAAGATATAAAATTAAATTTTTTTGTGAAGAATCAACAACAAGTGGGACACAATCATGAAGTGGAATGAAATTTATTTGATGTGCCAAACTTTTTTAACAAATAAAAAACTGAAAAGTGGGGCGTGCAATATTATTTGCCCCCTTGCGTTAATACTTTGTAGCGCCGCCTTTTGCTTCAGTTCCAGCTGCAAGTCTCTTGGGGTTTGTCTCTATCAGTTTTGCACATGGAGACACTGAAATTCTTGCCCATTCTTTCTTGCAAAACAGCTCGAGCTCAGTGAGGTTGGATGGAGTGCGTTTGTGAACAGCAGTCTTCAGCTCTTTCCACAGATTCTCGATTGGATTCAGGTCTGGACTTTGACTTGGCCATTCCAACACCTGGATACTTTTATTTGTGAACCATTCCATTGTAGATTTGTCTTTATGTTTTGGATCATTGTCTTGTTGGAAGATACACCTCCGTCCCAGTCTCAGGTCTCTTGCAGACTCAAACAGGTTTTCTTCCAGAATGGTCCTGTATTTGGCCCCATCCATCTTCCCATCAATTCTGACCATCTTCCCTGTCCCTGCTGATGAAAAGCAGGCCCAAACCATGATGCTGCCACCACCATGCTTGACAGTGGGGATGGTGTGTTCAGGGTGATGAGCTGTGTAGCTTTTACGCCAAACATATCATTTTGCATTGTGGCCAAACAGTTGGATTTTGGTTTCATGTGACCAGAGCACCTTCTTCCACATGTTTGGTGTCTCCCAGGTGCTTGTGACAAACTTTAAACAACACTTTTTATGGATATCTTTGAGAAATGGCTTTCTTCTTGCCACTCTTCCATAAAGGCCAGATTTGTGCAGTGTACGACTGATTGTTGTCCTATGGACAGACTCTCCCACTTCAGTTGTAGATCTCTGCAGTTCATCCAGAGTGATCATGGGCCTCTTGGCTGCATCTCTGATCCGTCTTCTCCTTGTTCCAGATGAAAGTTTAGAGGGACGGCCGGGTCTTGGTAGATTTGCAGTGGCCTGATACTCCTTCCATTTCAATATGATTGCTTGCACAGTGCTCCTTGGGATGTTTAAAGCTTGGGAAATCTTTTAGGATCCAAATTCGACTTTAAACTTCTCCACAACAGTATCTCGGACCTGCCTGGTGTGTTCCTTGGTCTTCATGATGCTCTCTGCGCTTTGAACAGAACCCTGAGAATATCACAGAGCAGGTGCATTTATACGGAGACTTGATTACACACAGGTGGATTCTATTTATCATCATCAGTCATTTGGGACAACATTGGATCATTCATAGATCCTCACTGAACTTCTGGAGTGAGTTTGCTGCACTGAAAGTAAAGGGGCCGAATAATATTGCACGCCTCACTTTTCAGTTTTTTATTTGTTAAAAAAGTTTGACACATCCAATAAATTTAATTCTACTTCATGATTGTGTCCCACTTGTTGTTGATTCTTCACAAAATATTAAAATTTTATATCTTTATGTTTGAAGCCTGAAATGTGGCAAAAGGTTGAAAAGTTCAAGGGGGCCGAATACTTTTGCAAGGCACTGTATATTCTGATTGACCTCATTTTGTATTTTGCTTTGTGTATTACCTGTTTTTCTGTCTGTACAGCACTTTGGTTGGCCTTGTAGCTGTTTTAAGTGCTCTATAAATAAAATTGTATGGTATGGTATGGTAGTCTTCTGAATCTTTCATTAATTTTCCTCTTCCCTCCACATCCAGGGAGGTTCTTCACAGTTCCATGCTTGGCAAACTGCTGACACAGGGACACCAAGGTCCTTAGAGATTCTTTATAACCTTTTGATGTCTTGGGCTTTCTAATAGTAGACCTTCTGATGTTAGACAGCTCCTTTGTCTTCACCATTGTAACAAAGAAACAAGAAATGGGGGTCGACATGAGCAGCTTCTGTTTGTCTGAGACAACCTGTTTTCATCTCGGACAACCAGCTCTCATCTTGAGGTTGTCCGGTGGACAACCAAGTGAAAGAGACATGGAATAAATTTCTCCGTCACCACAACAAATTTCAGTCGTTTTGAATGTCTATAAAGATGAAAGAGGAGAAAAACTTTTTTTTTGTGGTCTTTTTAAGTCATCCAATCTAATGATGATACAGGGATTAAACTGATGCTGCTTTCAACCAATCAAGAGAACCAGAACCACAGTTTGACCCAGTCAGAGCAGAGCAGGGTGGGTGTGGTCTGATACGTGATCCATCTGTTCCCAACTCTGAGATAGACTGCAGGTGAGAGCACCAATCAGTGTTTCCTGGACTATTTTCCAAGGAGGACACACCTCACTACCCTAACCGATGGTGATGACCTGTGATAAAGTATTGAACGTCTACATGTTGAACGTATGTGCTCACACATGACCATTTCACTGCAGCCAGGGGAAAACCTGCCGATACACCTGTACCCCACCCCAACCTCCTCAGGACATTTGTATCTAATATCTAACTTTGGATTAAAGGTTAATGTGTTCCGAGTGTCCTCATTGTACAGACATGTGAAACCTGTGCACGTGACCGAACTCCAGGTCCACCACAGCGCGACAGGCTGCGTCTGCTGCATCTGCTGCTTTAGTTCTTATAATTAAGCAATGATAACAGTAAAAGATGAATATTTCAAGGTCAAGTACACTGTGTACTTTTACTAAGGTCGTATACACAGTGTACTACTAAGGTTGTGTACAGTTTTTTTTTTTCTGCTTCCATCTGTCCTTAATACACTGCGAGTGCCTCCCTTACATAATCTGACGAGGATGAGGAGAACGAGGAAGTTCCACACCAGCAGCTCCTGAAAGAGCTTGGACATTCCAGAGCACAAGATGGCCGACTGAGAACTTGAGAACTTTTGTATATAGCAAACTTTGTATAAAGTGCAATATACATTTATTTAATTACATTTTTCTTTAAATTTGTTTTGCCTTCTTTACAAACCTTGCAAACAACCAAAACACTTGGCGGACAGTCAGATTCTGTCCAGGTTGTCTGCTGGACGATGTCCTCATGTCTGCCCCAGAGAAATAACGTGACTTTTTAAAAACCCTAAAATCTGCCAATCATTGGTCAGTTCATATCACATGAGCTTTGACAATTCATCACAAGTTGATCTCAAAGTCTTGTCTAGTGTGGATGTTGTGTGCCTGACTAAAACAAATTGCCCCTTGGGGATAATAAAGATTCTTGAACCTGAATTTCATGTATAATTGAACACAGCTGTGACGAGTTATGAGACAAGTTCTCTGTTGAAACAAGCTGGTTCACTTCAGTTTTGTAAAATTTACTATGTTATGTACCTAAACTTCATGGGAGCCAACATTGGTGAAAAAGACTACAAATAATACATATACGAGCTTTAAGTGTGAACACAGCCTAAAGTTTATGAATAATGTACACAAATGCTAACACCTCTACCATGCTGAATGCCACTAGGTTTCATCAAAAAGACCGGAGCAGCTTGCACAGTTTCAGGGTCAAAGCAGGTTGATGTCTGACGGAGGAAGGTTGTTTTTCAGAAAACATCACCTGAAGGAGGCAGGTCAGACGGGACTGTGAGGTGGCTTCAGACTCGTCATGTTGAAGAAACCTGCCACCTGACCTGGGACTTCAGCTAGGACGCTCTGAGCCAGAGTCTCCTGAGGACACTGTCAAAACAAGCAGACATTAATTATAATCTGTTCAAATATATGAGAGTTATTGTAAGGAAGCAGAGAAGGCAGAGGGTTGTGACATCAATGTAAAAAACTGAATCTGTCCACAAAAATGCGTAAGCACAACAGTAGCTTCAGTGTTTTTACATTTTGTACATTTATGTTGCAGCCTGACGATTGTATCAGACAATCGTATTGTATCAGTATAGTATTGTACAATATTGTATTGTATCGATTGTACAATCGATACAATACAACTGTATTGTTTGAGTTTGAGTTTAATTTGATTGAAAACAGTATAATAAAAGAACAAACAAAGCTACATGAAAATAAAATAAATTTAAAACAAAAGCAAGCAAAGAAAAAAAAACAAAAAACAACAGTGGTAAAGTATATTTACATGTTCAAAGGAGTGGGTAGAAGTATAAACTTATTGTAAAACGTAAGGATTTTCCATTACCTTATGTAATGGAAAATAATTTTCCATTACGTATGGAAAATTATATCATTTTCCATATGTAATTTGTATTTAGTACCTTATAATGACAAAGTAAAATCAAAATAAAAACAGGATAATTACATTTATAGAAGGATTCAGATTTTTTGCTACAACGCTTCAAATTTTGCTCGAATTTCAGTTTCTAAAAAAAAAATCATCTGGTGCCAGTCCTCAGCGGTCGTCACAACCGTTTAAAAAAACATTAAAAAAAATAAAAGCAGTGCGCCAGAGACACTCATCTCTGAGGGATTTGAAGAGTGAGTGTTTGTTGTTTTGGAGTAGAGTGTTTTTCTGGACTGGAATACAAGAGACAGCAACTAAACCTACATGTTTTTAGTGCAATAAAACAGTTACGTATTGTAACCCCAGATTCTATGAGCTTAAGCGTTACCCTTTAAAAGCTGTCGCTATTGGCTTTAAAGGGCAGAGCAGGATATGGTCCATGCCTCACTGGCTCTGTCCGAGAACCATCAAAAACACCCTGATATCCGCCTAAAACCTCATTCTTTATTCAAGCGTAATTATGCACCATTGATCCATGTACCTGGTGCGTACTGCATTACAGGCGTACAGCCTCTGTGCCTGATCTTAGCTGAAGGAATGTTTATTCATATCAGACAATTAGAGAAATAAGAAGGGAAAACTTCCAATGAAGAAGAAAGGAGTTTTCCTGCTTGAACAAGTAATCGTAGAAAAATTCCCACTACAAATGAACGAGCAGGGCTGTGTTTTATTTTTTAAAATAGTTGTGTGACTGTGAAAAATCACTCTGACATAACTCTGAGAACTGAATGCGTCAGCGAAGAGCTGGAGACATCACGTAGATAAAAATGGAAGAAAGGGGTCGGTGATGACCATGAAGCCGCAGATGTCCTGCACAGACACCCCTCTGTGTAAATCTGTGGAGGTAGAAATCCCACTGGTGGAATGAGCCCCGAGTCCTTCAGGCAGTTGAAGACCAGAAGAATTATAGTCTTGTGATATAGTTTCACATAACTTAGGTCCTTAGGTAGCTTCATGCACATCTCTGTGATGCCTTACGCAGGTGTACAATAAACTAAATTCTCATTAGGCTGGTGCAGGGGTGGACATAACTTAAGGGAGGAATCATTCTGCCAACATAAATGCTCAGGAATGCCTCCTACACCCCACCACAGTTTCCATCAAAATAGTTGGTCTCAATTAAATCATGTTACAAATGATAAATGTTTTGTTAAAAAATAAAAATTAAATTAAATAAAACAGCCACCACTCATCACTTCCCCAACACCATCCCCACTGTGAAGCATGGTGGTAGCAGCATTATGATGTGTGTGTGTGGGGAGGAGGTATTATTCAGCAGCATGGTCTGAAAAACTGGCCAGGGTTCAAGAGATGCAACCCTGATCTGTTCAAGAAAGCTCAAGACAGACTGGACAGAAGGTTCACCTTCCAAAATGGCAACAACCAAAAGGACACAGTGAAGAAAACACAAGGGTTATGGTGCTTTGCCACTGTCTCAACTCCCCATGACATGGCACTAATTAGAGATGCACCGATTCAATACAAATGCCCGTATCGGTACAGATAAAAAATAAAATAAAAAAAAAAACTTCTGGATCGGGTATTGGTGACAATGTGACCGATCCATGATCCGGGCCGCTACCCGCTGGACGACGCCATCACCTTTTCTAACGTTTTTTATTTGCAGTGAATCGGATGATTCTCTCGAAAAAGGCGATGTGAGCAGCAGCTCCGTTGAGTGTTTTTTCCGTGGAGGGTCGCTACGCGCAGGACAACACCACCGCCTTTCTTTGACGCTTAGTCACGCAGTGAATCGGATGACTCCTCCGAGAAAGGCGATGCTGGAAACAACCTTGCTGCCCCTTCCCTCCTGGAGGCGTGACGGAAGAAGCGCGGTCGAACGGATGCTCAGCCACCTCGGGTCTTCCCAAGTGGGCGACCACACCGCTCCCAGCCGTCGGCGCCCTCCTCTCGGAGCTGCCCGGCATAATCCAGGAGGCTGCTAACACAAGGGACTTTCCATCTCTCGCCTCCCTCCACCCTGATAGGATGATCTGGCGGGAAGGTTTGGCTCCGCCCCCGGCTCGTCGCCCTGATACCACCTGGCCTCGCTGTCCAGCTGTGACGTCACAATGGAACAAGGCTGCAGATGGACCCGGCAAGCTGAAGACATCTGTCTCCACCTTCGCCTCCATCTCCAGAGTGGAGGGTTTTTTACCGATCGGCATTTTTTTCCCTAGGTTCTCCCCCCTGGAGCCAAGCCTGGTGGAGACGCTTGGGGCAAAAGCATCCAGGATGGACCGGCAACCTATCTCTCCAGGAAAGCATGACCAGAGGGTGACAAAGCTCTCCAACCGAGCTCACCAGTGCACATCCCAGGCGGTCACGTCAAACAACAACATCGCTCTGCTGGCCTACTGCATCTCAAAGAGGCTGGAGGAAGCAGACCTGCTGGAGGAGACAAAGAGCTCTCTCTGTAAAGCTGCTGACGTCATCTTAAACATGTGCGCCACCTCTGTGGTCTCCCTGTCCCGCATCGCCGCCCGGATGACCATGATTCAGAGGACCACCTAGCCATCCTTGTCCGAGAAAGACCTGCTGGAGGGCCCCATCACCTCAGAGGCGATGTTTGGGGCCAACTTCAGGACCATCCTTGAGAAATCGAAGAGGTCCGAGGAGGTCTCAGAGACTGTACACCATCTGGTGACGTCACAGTCCTCCTCCCGCCCCTCCGGCCGCGGGAGGGACCGCCTTGGCCAGCAACAGCAGCAGAGGTGCTCCACAGCTGCGGCAGCGACTTCACGCTCCACTCCTCTGCCGGCCCCCTCCACCAGGTAACAGATCTTTGAGGGGAATGTATGTTTTTTTGATGATGTATGTTTTGATATAAAACAGAAACACCTCTGAAAGTAAAGTTTCATCTGAGACTGTCAGATCAGCTGATCTCACAGCTGCCTCTCTTCACACATTCCCCACACAGAACGAGCCAGTAACCTCTAAACAGCGTTTTAAATGGCACTGCAGTTCAGCAAATATCACAAAACACTCGTCTGCCATGTCAGCTAAAATTATGCTTTTTCAGCAGACTGAGTCCGGTAAAATCCCTCGTTTTCAGCCAGAGCCCGTTTTTAATTTCTGCTGTTTTCTGCCCACTCACAGCGCAGCGGGAGTAAACGTGTTTCTCCACAACAGCTGCAGCCTCCACCGAAACGGCGTCTCACTCAGAAAGCGCTCACGCCTCCTCTCAGTGCACGCCAGCTCACCTCAGCTTTAATGTGAGACCGCAGCCTGGGCTCAGCACAGAGGCACACATACAGCCCTTTTTTCTGTCGGAGCCCCCCTTGGGTTCCCCCTGGAGAATCTCCGGAGCAAGTGATGGCAGTAAGGCTTTTTAGTCTGGTTGACGTTCATGAGAAACATGACAACACAAATGCGTGCCCGCTCTCCAAGGGTTACTCAAAGTGGCAGTGAGTGTGTTCCCTGGACAGATGGACGGACCGTCTGATCAGCAGGGGTTACAAGCCGCATTTCGCAGCTCAACCCCCACCGTTCAGAGGGATTATAGAGACGGTTCCGTCTTCTCCAGAATAGAGCTCGTCTCTCCAGTCATAAGTTCAGGAATTTCTGACGAAAAACATGATTTCCAGAGTTCCAAACCCTGCAGCATAGTGACAGTTCTGTCTGTCATGCGACGCCTGAGACGATGTCAGCGGCCCACATCGTGGTTCTGCTGGGCCTACTTCACATGAGATGCCTTCAGAGATGGTTTGCCCGCCTGCACATATATCCTGTGCACCAGAAGAGATGGATTATCTTTGTGCCCCCCTCCGTGTGAACCGATTTGAATCACTGGGGAAACCCCCTCATTCTGTCAGAGGGAGTTCCCAGCAGCAGGCCTACGTCACACGTCTCAGTTTTCCCAGACACGTTCCTGTCAAGCTGGAAGGAATGTGTCGGTGAAGCTCTAGGTGTGTTTAAGTGGGCTGTTGTGGTGCAGAGTTTTCAATAAATTTGTAATTTAGTACATTCATGTCTGCGTTTAAAAAGCAAATGTTTTAAGTTAATTCAGCACTGGGTTTGTAAGCTCAATCATCCAGGTAAACAACAAAAATGGCTAAATTGTAATCTGGACCTGTTTCTGAAACGGGTCCAGATTACATGATTTAGCAATTTGGTTAATTCAGTACTGTTTTTTTGTATCAGATCGATATTACATAGGTACCGTCCGACACTAAAACGCAGGTATCTGTGTCGGATCGGAAGTGAAATAAAAAAGAAGATCAGTGCATCCCTAGCACTAATTAAGGGTCTCTTCGCTGCCGGTATGCACTCCACTCAGCCTGATTTATGGGACTACCTTGAGGTTCCAAGAGGGCTGCTCTGAGGGGCTGATTATTCAATTCAATTCAATTCAAAAATACTTTATTTATCCCAAAGGGAAATTATTTGTTGTTGTAACTCATTATCCTCATTTCATTAAGAGAAGTTATTGATGCTGATGGCTGTAGGCAGGAAAGATCTCTTGTAAAGGTCCATCCCACAGTGGATCCTAAGAAAGATGACGTCCGATCCGTCCACCCAGACTCGGCTGGCCTCTTGGTTCCCCTGGGCTGTAAGACCGCCCGAATGCCAGGCAGAACTCCTCCCAGAGCGATAGTCACTCCTCCCAGTAGTCTGCCGAGCTCCTCATCATGTAGGTGCCGAGGGACGATCCTGTCCTTCTGCTGTCATGAGCCATGTTTCCTGCCAGTTCCAGGATCTCAGTGGGCAGGCACTCGAGCACAGCTGGCAGCTAGATGAGAATGCATCCACAGAACATTCTTTTCAACTCATTTGAGATTTGGGGCTGTAGCTGAGATATTATTTGAGCTTTTGAGAGGTTAATCAGCTGCTGTTGGTTGTAGAAAACTGCCTTGTTGCCATGGTTATGCATCATAACAAATGTCCAAAACTAAAAAAGTTTCAGTAAAAATCCTTCAAGCTGCTCAGCATTTGACACCAGAGGAAACAATCATCCCAAAAAAGGTGATTTACATCCAGAAAAAGAGGAATTAAAGTTTCCAAAAGCAAAATCTCAGAATGAAAGTAACAGAGCTGCTCCAACATGCAGCCACCTTGAGCAGCACAATTCTAGAACATTATGACATAAGCAGACAGCATTGATTGGCCAGCAGAGATACATAACTGGATGACAAAACTGCAAACTACATATGTACCTCCACTTCCACATCGTGATGACGGATGGTGCCACAAGAAATGAGTGTGTTTACAGAGCCATATCGGAGATGAAGGCTTATAAGCAGTGCTGAGATAAACTAACAAAATTCAAGTCTGATTATAGAACGATTGAGAATCACAATGGACAGAGTGGCTTGAACACAATGACCAGTTACAATCCTGCTCACTTTGCATTGACGATCCCACCCAAAGGAGAGCCGAGTGGAGCCACATTTACCTATAGCGAAGTGGCATTAGAGACAACTCTGAATGTCCTGAAGTGAACCAACCACAGCCCTGACTTGAACTGGAAAGATCTAAAAGTGGCTTTACCGATTGCCTCCAATCTGGGTTTGAGAGGAACGTCAAAAAAAGGGTAGAAAATCCTCCAATTCAGATAAAATGTGTTGTGCTAAGCCCTAACCTGAAGGCTTTCATTACTGCCAATTCAACTAAACACCAAGTGAAGTATATTAATTAGAGCCCAACCGATATATCGGTAGGAATCAATAGTTTAGACCAATATTGACGTTTGGGGACCTATCACTATTGGTGATAATTGTCCCATTATTCACCAATATAAACACTTCTGATTTTCACCCCTAAAATGCTGGAACTAACCGTAATTGGATAATGTATCCAGCAGAGGGAGCATGAAGACTATTTTAAAGTGAATGCTGTTTAAGTTTCACTTTTACATTCGGCACTGACGAAGCAAGGAGCAATACTGTGTGGCGTTTTTTGCAGAACAGAGCATGATAAGTTTATTTTAACTGATCTGTAAACAAATCAACAATAATAAATTCTCGTCAATCCTCCAACCCATTTGTTACGGTGTTACGGCTACGTGCCTCTCAAGTTAGCAAGCTAAAGTTAGTGTTTAGTTGCACCGCCTTCACAACATTAGCTCCGTTGTCAGTAGTTATAGCAACTAGTCCTGTCGGATTGAGCTTCCAGTTTGTGAGGACATCCAGTGTTAATGTTATCTGTGTTGTCCTCAATGAAATACATTGCTTGTCTGAAATCTTTACTTCTTTGCAAAGAAAATAAATTCTGTTGCTGTCAGTAATAATTAAACCTTCACCAAATGTGACTGACTGTTGACACAATGAACAGAAAGGATGTTTGTTTAATTTACATTTTTGTAACACACAATAACTTTATGGTGAATAGTAGAGGATAGAAAATGTGAACACACATTAGGAAGACTGTGTTTATGACCAGTGCACCACTTGTAAACCTGGTGTGGGACTTTGTATAGCTGGATCTTATTAGCTTAGCTTCATAGTTGCCAACAGCCATGCTAAATAAATAAGCACCACTCTGCTCACTGTTTACTGAGATTCTTGAGGGTGGACAAAGCTCAAATATTTTCAGCCATTACATAGGTTATCGGTGTGCCCCAATCAATATCAGCGATATCTAAAATTTCCATTTCCATATGTCGGGCGGCTGTGGCTAAGTGGTTAGAGCAGTCGTCCTCCAATGCAAGAGTTGGGGGTTCAAATGCACCAGCAGTAACATGCCAAAGTGTCCCTGGGAAAGACACTGAACCCTTGTTGCCTCTGATGTGTCCCCCATCGGTGTATGAATGTGATAAAGCTCTGATTAGTTTCTTTAGAATGATTTGTTCAATTAGCTTTGTAGAGATCTAGTAGAGTGCTGTATGAATGGATAAATGAGGGCACAGATTGTAGTGTAAAGGGCGTTAAGTATCTCGATAAGATAGAATGGAGCTATATAAGTACAGTCCATTTACCATATCGGCTAGGCTCTAATTTTAATACCAATATATTTAATATGAGGGGCAGCACGGTGGCGCAACTGGTAGAGCTGCTGCCTCTCAGCGAGTAGGTCCTTGGTTCAAACCCCGGTCCAGGGGCCTCCTGGGTGGAGTTTGCATGTTTTCTCCGTGCATGCGTGGGATTTCTCCGGGTGCTCCGGTTTCCTCCCACAGAGCAAAAACATGCAGGTTAGGCTGATTGGTAACTCTAAATTGTCCCTAGGTGTGAGTGAAAGTGTGAATGGTTGTTTGTCTCGTTTGTCTCTATGTGGCCCTGTGATGGACTTGCGACCCGTCCAGGTTGTACCCCGCCCCTCGCACAGTGATAGCTGGACATGGGCACGAGCGACACCCGTGACCCAAAATGGAATAAGCGGGTAAAGATAATGGATGGATGGATGGATATTCAATATGTTCACTTTGTTATTTTTAATATGTTTACAGAACCCGTCCAGAGGACCAGACTTAACTTTTTTAGATTTTTCTACCTAGATAATTAAGCATACATCAGAATATGTTTACAGAATGTTTTTAAAAATGTGTTTTTACTTTGTCATTATGTGGTTCTTGTTTTTCTTTCAGCTTCAGTCCTCACATACTGTGAGGCACAAAGGCAAAACATAAAATCTCTGAAAAATTATGCATATGGAAGCTCATGCAGCTGGGATTAATGTAGCAAAGAAGGCAGGAAACAGGATAACAAGTCAGTCGGGGTACTTGTACATGTCTAGGAGGGGCAAGGGTCGTTGGGGGGCTTCAGGTCAAATAAATTGAAGAAGGAGGCCACTTGATCAGGCAACTCTGCCAGTACACACTGTGCAAGGGCTGCTGTGTTTGCCTGAAATAAGATGTGCAGCATTTAAACATCGTTCTTAGCATAACATCTCGACAAAGGATGAATGTCATCACGTGCAGTGGCTCACATTTTGAAACTGCCTGAATGGCACAAACTGGACGATGTCCCTCATGGCGGCCTCGCCTGTAGCGGAGCGCAGGATCCCATTGTCTCCATCCAGGAACTCCATGGCGCTGAAGTCTGCCCCTCCCACCCCGACGATGATGATGGACATGGGCAGCCGGGAGGCATTAACGATGGCGCTGCGCGTCTGATCCATGTCTGTGATCACTCCGTCAGTGATGATGAGCAGGACAAAGTATTGCTTCAGGGCAGCAAAAGATGCAGAGATGTATTAACTGTCTGAAAACAGCTAGGAAAGCTAATAAGTTTTGGATTATCATTGCAGACGGAACTGTTGTGATGTGTAGAAAGGATATTTTGATCAAGGAATTGGTCCATTTATCTTTACTTATTGACTTCTTCTCCTTCATACATGTACATCGACAAAGGATTTAACTGGAGCAGAGCTACAATAAATTTATCAGAAAACAAATTCATTTCAGACTTTCAGCAACTTACAGAGGCCGTCTGTTGCTGTAAGGCCTGTCTGCCAAAATGGGACACATGGTTGATGATCGGGGAGAAGTTTGTGGGGCCGTAGAGCTTCACCTGTGCCAGGCACTGCTGGTAGGCGAGGGCCACGCCTTCTATACCTACAAAACATGTCAAAAGAGAGTTAAAGTCACATGATTCTCATACACAGGCCGGATATCTTGTACTATCTACCTAGGTCTAAAAATGCATAGCAAGCCACAATATGACACATTTAGCCCAACCACCAGATTATTTTAGGCTGTTTTTTTGTCTGATTTCACCTTGACAAAATGGATTTGATGTGTTGAAGTTGATGGGAAACTCGTGGCTGACCTGCAGATACAAACATCCGTTTATCAAGAGTGCCAACCAAACTCGTTCAAATATCAAATACAGCAAAACTGAAAGTCACCTGCCACGTCGGAGGGATCTGAGCACCGAAACCAAAGGCAGGGAACATCTTGTCACTGTGGAAAGGAAGTAATTAGGAACATTTGTCAATAGGATTTTCAGCCAAATAAAATGTGATACTGCTGGCTTGAAGCGATGACTGTAGAAGTCTTTACATCAGAGGTGCACAACCAGTCGATCGCAATCTACTGGTAGAACGCAGACTGGTTTCAAGTCAAGCGCGAGATTTGTAGAACGCAACTTAGTTTTTTTTTTTTTAATCCTTATTATTTAACATTCAAGCCTAGACTATAAAGTGCCCAGACCCTTTTTAAATTCCCGCGAGACATAGCCACGTCTTGTTCATGGTATTCACATGATGTTTGGGCGCCTTGACTCGAGACATTATCTCATAAGACTTCATCTTCACGCGCTCAAAACAAAGTTGAGTAGGATCACTAGTTAGTTGCACCAAAAGATGGCTGACAAACGAGCTAACAAGCAAGCAAAAAAATATATATTTTCATCCGAAGTGGGAGGAGGACTAATTTTCTGTTTTCTCAAATATGAAGTCTGTCTTATTTGAAATGGAAGCGCTGCCTTGTTCAAAAAGGGTAACTTGGAATGGCATTTGAAGACCACACACAAACACTACGAGACAGATTTTCATCCTAAAACCGCTTTACTAGCCCATAAAGTTCAGGAGCTGAAAAAATAAGCTAGCAGTGCAGCAGTCAATTTACACCAAAGGTAAGGCCTCATACTGGGTCAGCTGCATTTCGGCAAAACACAAAAGGTCTCTCAGCAATGGCGAGGCTATGAAAGAAGGATTCAGTGAGGCTGTGGATGCACTTTTCCATGATTTTAAAAATAAAAGTGAGATTGTGGCTGCTATTAAAGATGTGCAACTGTCCGGGGATACTGTGAAACGGCGATGTGAGGGGATGGATGTGGAGGAGCAGCTTAAGGTTGTTTTCACGCCTGATAGTCCGGTAGACTCGGTTCAGTCGGGCACCAATATTTGTAACATTTGTTTACATTTCAGCTGGTGCGGTTTGCATTCACACTGCACTGAGTCAATCGAGCCAACCTGTTTCCCCCCCACCGCCTGTGGTGGCACTGCACCAAGAACTACTAAAGGAAATCTAAAAAAGTTAAATCTGGTCCTCTGGACATTCAAAAAACAAAAACAAAAAAACAAAGCAAATCAACAAAAAAATGTAGAAACGTTTCGTCTCTCATCCGAGAGACTTCCTCAGTCTGAGGAGCTGTTTTCAGCTCAGTCTCTTAAATAGCACAATAGCAATGGGTGTGCTATGGGGTCTCCAGTTTCTCCTATTGTTGCCAACCTGTACATGGAGGAGGTAGAAAAGAGAGCCTTGACGTCCTTTTCAGGGACACCACCAAGTAATTGGTTCAGGTATGTTGACGACACCTGGGTTAAAATCAAATCTCAGGAAGTCCAACATTTTACTGACCACATCAACTCTGTGGATAAATACATCAAGTTCACA